TCATAGCTATTCACCCCTATTCTGTAGTTCGTTTCGTTCGAAACGAAATACAGAATAGAGGTGATTAGCTCCCGTCCAAAAGTGGAATAGCTTCGTTGGCCCGGGTGAATTTCTCCGAATAAAAACCTAACGGCTGCCAAGTCCCGTTGACACATTGCTGCAGAATGGCTCCGGCCGCGGTGTTAGAAGCATCCACTAGAAGCCCCAAAGGTTTATCTGGATCTGGGTAATATAGTAACGCTGCTTCTGCTAGTGCTTTCTTACTGTTCTCAAACGCTTCTATGGTTGGTTCGGTCCATTCGATTTTCCTGGAATCGTTTTTCTTGTTACCTGTGATGAGACACCTTAATTCTGCCTGCATATCGGTCGCTTGGCGTACGAAACGTTTGTACCCGTTAACAAGTGCAAGGAATCGCCGAAGGTCTTTGATTGTCGTTGGGCGAGGAAAATTTAAAACCACTGACACTCGACTAGGTAACAGTTTTACGCCGTCTCTTCCGATGAGGTAACCGATGAATTCGACTTCTTGTTGGGCGAATTTACATTTAGGTAAGTTTATTACAACGCCATTTGATCGAAGTCTGTCGAACACTATTCGCATGTGCTGATGGTGCTCTTCAATTGAAGACGAAGCAACGCATATATCGTCGATCAAAATCGAGGTCTCCAAAAAGCCTATGCATGAATCTTTGGAACGTTTGACCTGCATTACACAGGTCAAACTGCATCCTAGTAAATTCGAATAGACTAAATGGAGTTATAACGACTGTTTTTGGTACGTCTTCTTCCTCTGATGGTAAGCTCGTTCAAGGTCGATAGTACTGAATATTGACTTACCGTGGAGGGCGTTTAGCAAGTCGTGGATGTGCGGGACCGGATACCTATCCGGAACAGTGCCATAGTTTAGCTTGCTATAATCTCCAACAAAGCGCAGTTGTAAAGACTTTTTCGGCACGCAATGTAACGGGCTGGCCCAACTGCTGCTAGAACGACGACAAATGCCAAGATCCATCATCGTTTGAAATTCCTGCTTAGCGAGCGACAGCTTGTCTGGCGACATCCGGCGCGCTTTACAAGTGGTAGGTGGTCCTTTGGTCACTATGTGATGAGTAATACCATGACGAACTTCTGCACGCAACGTCGACGGATGATCATAACTGATTGTTGTGACGTCGTGAAGAAGCGAATTTACCATCCCACCTGTGGACTTGAGTTTTGTTGTCCCATCGATGATACTACGGTGTCTGAGATCCACCATCAATCCGAAATAAGACAGGAAGTCTGCACCGATAATAGCTGTACTAACGTCTGCGACGAGGAAATTCCAGGAAAATCTCCTGCGGAGTCCGAGATCCACGTACAGGAAACGTGTGTCGAAAGTTTTGATGTTCGAGCTATTTGCTGCATGCAACAGGAACGGAATCGGTGGCTTGGTTTTGTCTCTTCTGGTAGCTGGTAGGATAGAAACATCCGATCCAGTATCGATTAAGAAGCGAATGTTGTTGGTTTTGTCAAAAACGGATAAGCGGCGGCTTTCCTTGTTCATACCCACCCCCGCCGTGAAAGATGGGCTGCTGTCTAGTTTTTTGGCGAATTTTTGAAGACACGGCTCGCGGCACTGGTGAGCGTTTACACCGTACTTTTTGTGGTACCAGCAAATTGGCTCATTAGCACTCTGTCGTACGCGGGACGACGATCGACTTCTCTCGTTATTGCCTTTGAGCTTCCGGATTTCCGCCGTGAGATAGGCGATTTGTTCGCCGAGATCCTCCTGGGTAGGGAATGCTGGTTGCGAAGTAGTTGCTGCTACAGACGGGTGCGTGTAAGAAGACTCCACCATCTTATCTGCCATTTCAGCCAATTTGGTCAGTGTGCCGTCGTGGATCATCAACACCGTTTTGACATTTGCAGGAAGCCGCTGCAAAAACAACATTTTCATCAATCCATCATCAACATTAGGCCCAGCCGCCAAATCCTGCATCCGGGTGCAGTAGGTGCGTCGGCTTCATGTCGCCTAAATCGCAGGAGTTAAGCAATTTCTCCATTTTTGCTTGCGCTGACATTTCGAAGCGGCTTAGTAGTCTGGTCTTGATTGACAGGTACTTGTCGTTTTCTGGTGGATTTGCAAACAAATCCGAGATGTGGCACAACACGCTCTGGTCCACTTTGGCGATTATGTGGTAAAATTTGGTTGCATCACGCGTTACTACTGCCAGGATGAACTGGGCTTCGGCTTGAGCGAACCACATAGCCGGATCGCTCTTCCAAAACTCAGGCAGCTTGATAGCTACGGAGGCTGTAGCCGCCGGATTTTCCTCTTGCTGTCCAGTCGCCATTTTCCCGGTTCGGTTCGAATTAGAAAAACAGGATGGCGAGGATATTTTCGCGAAAATTTCGTACGTACGAAACACGGTATAATCGACCGTTTTTTACGCGATTTTTTTCGCTCGTGGTCACCAATGTGGTGTACAGACACGGACGGATATGGAAGACCGAATAAACGAACGCAAAATCAACGATTTAACTTGTATTTATTTCCGCTTCAATTCTTCGCGTAGTGACACGTTCGCGATTCACTTTTTCTACCTCTCCCTCCGAAAGTCGTCTCTCTCTCTCTCTCTCTCTCTCTCTCTCTCTCTCTCTCTCTCTCTCTCTGAATGTCAGTGGCAACCAGGGGTGTGCCAATCTCCACAAGTTTATCGATGATGGCTGTGTTGTTATCGAGTCCGTAGGCCATCATCACTGCGCCCTGTTGCTGTGCCGGTTGAATGAAGTTAGCTGGTCCGTTTCGGGTCAGCGGTGCGTCCTTCATCAGCCCGACGTGTGTTCCGGCCAGTGTTGGTTTCCAGTTTTCTGACGGATGAAACTCGAGCGGTGAAAAATACGGTGCAAATCCATTTCCTCTGTCGGCTCCCAGAAGGGCCGGTTTAAGACCATGGTTGACTAATGATTGACGGTCGTTGTACACGGGGTGGGCCTTCTGCCGAATATGGTTGGATTGTGTAGCAACGGGGCTCATCCTTGGATACGGCTTCTTCCAATTTGTAGTGCCAAGACAGCCATCGCGGGCTCTGGTGGCGGATTCAATTCTGTCAAACTCAACCATAGCTTGGACTCCATTCTTCTTGAATATCCTGATACGTTGCACTTGTCCCACCGACAACCGACATGAATGACGATAGTAAAAACATTAAAATTTCTGACCAAAGCACACTACTGACATCTGGCTCCGTGTTCGCGGGAAATATTTAGCAAAGCCATGAACCCGCATGCAAAAGTTATGAATTGGTTCGTTTCTGATCTATTCTGGACAAACTATGTTAATCTAGATAAAAAATCCTATGGTTTTGACAGTTCGGATCACTGCGGAAAGGTGGCAGACATTGAGCATATTAAATTGTCGAAGTTCGCTAAGAAATATCTGATTTGGCAGGCTATCTGTACCTGTGGCTTGAAAAGCGATATTTTCTTTGCAACCGGGACCAGTCTTGTAAGCGGTCACGGTAGTCGACACATTTTCTGTGATAATTGACTGCCTTTGCCTCCGACACTTGCAAAACAAGCTATCATAGTACAGTACCAAACTAAAATGTAATATGACAGGCTCTGTCATACGACACTGTCGCCGAAGACCGTCACGTATGTATGTATTTTAGTTTTTCTTATATTAAGAGCTGCTGATGTTGTACTTGTGTGAATTCTGAAAATAGCAAGTAATGATGTCCTAGAAATAATATTTCTGATCAGAAATGGTTTGATTTACACCAAATTGAGGAATTACAACGAAATCACACATGTCATATGATAGCTATTTTGATAATTTTCTTTTAGCTCGAATGTTATTCTACCGCTCGTGTTGCGTGAGAGAGACGACGGTAGAGCATGAGTGTTCGAATACAAACAAACTGTCGCGCACGACAACGAAGCGAGTGTAGTAAAAAACGTCAACTGTTTCAACCTCTGACCGGGACCGTCAACCAAGAAATTTACGTGAGTGTCTGGAAAAACATCTGCTGCCTTTCCTGAAGCAACACGATTGTTCCGGGCTGTTTTGGACGGATTTGGCATCCTGCCATTACGGAAAAGGTAATGGAGTGGCATGCTGCCAACAACGTGCAGGTGGTGCAGAACCTTTCTAACACGCCAGAGGTCGAAAAATATTGGCCTATCGTCAAGCGGAACCTGAAGAAGACCCAAAAACTGTTCGCATTCTTGTTTGACCAACTTTTGATCGTAACACCCTTTATTAGTAAGAAGGGTCAGATTTCGCCATAGGTGGAATAATTCAGTTTTGTTCAAACCGGGAAATTTTCGAATTATTTACAGTACTTGTTCGCTAACTGGGCGATCTTTTACTGGGTTGCTTTTTAACTGGGCGTTCGTTAGCAGTTATACGTCAAAAATAGACGTCACATTTAATTTGACATTTAGTTGATTGGTGAGGGGCATTTGAATGGAATATTAAGTGATAATGTAAATAAATTTGAAATTATTTTCATTTCATACTGAAATCACGACTTAAAAGCGTTATTAGCAAAAGCATTAAGGCTTTCTAAACTAGCGAGATTGAATGCTGCGAAAATAACATTGAAAAACTTTACACTGTATCAATTCAATGCACATGATTGTTTTTAACGTTGATAAAAAAAATCCATTGAAGCTCCCCTCAGTGTTTTTTGACGTTTGACAAGCCAGTCCAGTTAGCGAGTGGAATTCGCTATCTGGGCTGCGCTTTTAGCCTAGTGAGCGAACAAGTACTGTACCAGGAAAACATGGAAATTCAGTTGCCACCCTTATACAAATGCTGAATTTTTGTCCGACTTTAAGTGGTCATGAAATACATTTTTACTATGGTTCTATAACTCGACATCGAGCTAGTCGAAATCGAGTTGTAGGAGCGTTGACTCTAACATACTCTTTCTTTTTACCCTATACGAGACCCATAACTATATGACCTGGATACTAAAAATGTCCCTCTCATCCTCTTGTTACCCTTCCAGCAGACCGAGGACAATGTGGACATTGCCGCCAGCATCAAGGCCCTGGCGAGGAGCGTCCACGGCGATACGATGTTTGGTGATCTGCCGCGACCGCAGATCCAACGATTCAGCACCCAGATCTAATCTACTGTAAGTTGGAGGTAGAGTAGTAGCACGTCCTGCATGCCATAAGCCGGCATGTAGTAGAACCCCCTCAAGTCGAAAAAAAAAAACAAATGCAGAAGAAGAAATGGGAAGAAAGTCAGACGTCGATATCTAGGGATAAGTGAAGCATGTTGTCGATTTTCTATTTCGTGTTTTCTATTTTTATTAAGGATTTATTATTACTACATCCATTACGCGCGCGCAGCCTTTTCTGACCGTTTCTAGGCTGGTTACATGTTTTTTTTTTTTTAATGGAGATAGTTTTTTTTAATCATCTTTGTAGTTTTGTAAGTCATACTCAATACCAACAACAGCAGTTTTTTTTTTTGGTTTGGATGCAATGGTCAATCGAGTTGATTGATTGTAGCTCGGATTCGGTGCAGTTTGATGTTCATCTGCTGATGAAATTGTTAGTCTCACTAGCCTGACTCCGATGATTTGTATGCAACATTTTAACGAACTGTAAGCTAGAGTTGGAGAACGAACTTCCCATGGGAGTAGATTTTGTTTTGTTTTGTACGTTTATTTCTTGGCCTCAGAAGTCGAGCTTTTCTACATCTTGTTTCGTGTTTAGCGTTCCGAAAACCTACCTACCTAAAGTTATACTTTTTGAACGAATGATATTGATGTTCTGTCGAGTTTATTGTTTTTTTTTTGTCTTGATTTTGAAGTACATAATCATCCGTATTATTGTTTTCGTACAATTTTTTTATTTAGTATGAAAAAACAGTTTGAACGAAAACGAGAATACGGGTGAATGTTATTTTTTGAAGATTATACACTACAAGAGTCAAGTAGGGGAAGATAGGAAGTCGAGTACTGAAATGTTGCAATCAGTTTTGATCGGATAAAAGATCTGTTCTGGTAATTAGATATTGTGGCTTTCGAAAAGAGGAATAAATCGCTAAAATAGAAAAGCGCTAGAGATTTTATATCTAACCAATAGGCTGAACATGCAGTAGGAAGAGGTAGATACGCTATAGTGTCTATTGTGGATAGTTAGTAGGGTCGAGTCGAGAGCTTCGTTTGATGATAAGAAAATACACCATGAAAAGATAGATTTCCCCACACTCATTCAATCCGTTCTAGTTGAACAACAGTCCGAGCTATATTTTTCATATATGTATACTTATTAAATTGCAAGCGTAGGCGCCTCTATTTTTCCTATGGCTTTGTTGAACCGTGGTAGAACGACCTCTTTTGTGATTAGCAAGACGACCCCGGTTGGTTAACGTGAAATAATGTGAGAGGAAAAGCAGTACACATGGCAAGTACCAGGAAGGTTCACACCAGTCCCTTTTCACGCAAGTGTGCTTTTTTCAAAGTCTGTTGTATCGAATCGATTTAATGTTTGTTAAACCACACGATCCGGCGCTGATGAAAACCAAAAGGCGCCCAAAAGAACCAACATATTTTCACGATTCATTTCTTAGTAGTTTTAAGAAAGAGAAAAAACAATTATCGATATCGCCACCCCCTCTATTACCTTAACTACCTCCTAATAAGTATTGTAAAACGCAAAATACAAGCCCACAAGGATCACAATGACCCAGTTGAAGAGAAAAGCATTTGCTAGTAGTAGTTGTTGCTTCTTCCCGCCCTGTACGGGTTAAGTTCATTTTCTAAATGTTCCCTGTTATATCCATCTGCCTGCATATTAAAGTCCTCCAATGATTGTAAAGCGCAGCAATACAAATTTATTCGCTCATTCAGCAATCATAAACAATCGCATGTACACCCATATACTTTCTATAGGTACACCTGCCTTCCCATTTAACGACATACAACAACCACTACGAATATCAAAAGCAAACATAGAATACATAAAAGGAGGAGCCTGAAAGAGGATGAACGATCTACAAATTAATAATTAAAACCTAATAATAATTATACCTACCTAAATAACCATATTGCTGTAGCTGTGTTGTGCGATTTTCCAAAAAAAAAACCCCCTTCAAAAATGTCGAAAAGAGTGTCTTTTTTGGATGCAAAAACCAGAACTGTTGTGTTAGTAGGAGATTAAAAACGCAAACAAAACGAAACGAGAGAAATACAAACTATCATTCAACCATATGAAAATTGACAAAATACTTTTTGCATTTAGCTCGTCTGTTTGATCATTGTCGTAGAGAATAATGAGAAAAAAAAGGCCCTGGCTACACTGAACCAAAACATCGTCCTTTGATCGAATGATTATTGCTTCACCCAAGCCCTATTACCAACAATCAATACGAAACTAACGATTTTAAATTGGCTCACCACTTTAGTAGCCTATTGGTCCCAAGCAAACGATTAACGTACCCTATTCTAGTCGAAATTCTAGTACTACGCAATGTTTGTTTTGATTCGATATGAAAGTTTGACAGATAAAATGAGGGGTTATTGGTTTTTCCCTGGGACGGGGCTTGACAATCGGGTAGCGATTTCGAGCCAATTTGCTGTCAAATCCGAGCCAGTTGCTGATTGTTCGATTTGACAGTAGCAATCGTGGAATAAAAAGAACAGAGGGATCACATCAATCTGGCTGGCAGTGATGCCGGAATCAATGTTGACGTCTATGGCGCTGTTAATTGTTTATATTTGCGAAAGGAGAGTTGAAAAATTGAGTGCACTGCATGTTTTAAGCGATGGATATTGTTGTTTGCTTATGGTTGTTATTGATGTGTTGAGCAAAAATGATGTACAAGCTGCTTAACTGCAGAAACTCAGAACACAATCCAAATTAAAATGGAAAAAAAATATTTTACATTCCTGGCATCATTGGTCAACTCCGTCAAACACCACGCACAACTTTCCGAAGGGCATTCTTCAAGAAGATTAAGAAGAGTGAGAATCTCGATTGTCAAGTCCCGTCCCGGGTTTTTCCTATGTTTCGAGGGGTGAATCGATAAGCTTGGGACCGAAGAGAGTACCAGAGCTGAGCCAAAAAGTTGAGCACGTTATTTCGGGACCTTCTAGTCTTAGAGTTACCTCTATGATAGTACCAGAGGTGCAATGACATTTATATAAGGTCTGGGCCAACAGGCAGCTTGCTGGTGTTAGAAGCAAAAATGTTGTAAACATTGCTGAACATCTGCGAACAGATAGATATACGTCACTGCCAACATACTGAGAACAGATAGAAATACGTCACTGCCAACAGCTGTTTCGTGTAAAAAGATAAACATTGCAATATAATACGAACACCACTAACCATTTGCACATTTCACTAACACCAATAAGCCCTTTGGCCCAGACCTTATATAAACGTCATTGCCAGAGGTGAGCCAAAAAGTTGAGCACGTTTCTTCGGGACCTACTTGTCTTAGAGTTATCTCTATGCTATTACTATCATCAGATGATTTTGAGATGATCGTCATTCAGTTCATCAACTACAACAACTTGGATGCATATCCTCCTAATATAGAATGATTTTAGTTCAATTTTTAAGAACATAGGTGGACGTAAATCAAATGAATATAATAAGTTAAATAAATGCTATTCTTATTTATATTGAGTGCTAGTAGTAGCAATATTGTCTGTTGAAAATAGGTAATATTTAAGTATTGCAATGCTTTATTTTTATATAATTACTAGCTGAGTGTGCCCGCTCTTGCTCGCGATTCAATATTGGCTGGAGTTTATGCGCCCCCCCCCCCTTATCTAAGTGGCGAACCCCTATGACCATCCCCCAAAAATCCAAATACCAAGCAAATGGTTCCATTTGCTTGGTTAGTTCTCGAGTTAATAAGTTATTTCTGTTTCATTTGTATGGGAGAAACCCCCCCCCCACTTTACAGAGGGCGGAGGGGTCTCGAAACATCATAAGAACCTTTCCCGGCCCCAAAAAACACTGCATACAAATTTTCACGACGTTCGGTTCAGTAGTTTCCGAGTCTTTAAGGGTCAGACAGACAGACAGAAATTCATTTATATATATACTAGCTAAGTGTGCCCGGTCTTGCTCGGAATTCAATATTAGCTTGAGTTTATGCGCCGATTTAAAAAAAAAGCATGCTATATTGTACGTAGCCCCCCCCCCCCTATTATCTAAGGGGCTACCCCCTATGATTATCTCCTTATACCCCCACATGCCTAATTTGGTTCCATTTGCTTGATTAGTTCTCGAGTTATGCAGACATTTCTGTTTCATTTGTATGGGAGCCCCCCTTACAGAAGGGGGAGGGGTCTAGAACCATCATAAGAACCTTCCACGGCCCCAAAAACCCCTGTATACAAATTTTCACGCCAATCGGTTCAGTAGTTTCCGAGTCTATAAGGGTCAGACAGACAGACAGACAGACAGACAGACAGAAATTCATTTTTATATATATAGAAGATAGATAGATAGATAGGGGAAATGGCTCTAATGTTGGCCTATGGATCTGAGATTGGGCCCATCGCTAAAAATCTGCTATCTATCAATTTTATCTAGATGAACGCGTCATTGAAACGGTACTAATGGATATTTTTGGTAGCTATTGAAAAATTAGTCGATCGCTGAATTTATGTATGAGCCCAAGTAGGGGGCATTTAGGTCGACATTACATCCATTTCCCCTGGATAAGTAAAGTCGATCTTACAGCACCGACAAACCGACATGAATGACCATAGCAAAAACAATAAAATTTCTGACCAAAGCACACTACTGACATCTTGCTCCGTGTTCGCGGGAAATATGTAGCTAAACCATGAGCCTTATGAATTGGTTTGTGTCTGATCTATTCTGGATAAAGTATTTTTTATCTAGATCAAAAAATCTTATGATTTTGACAGTTCGGATCACTGCACATTTAAATTGACCGTTTACGATTTTTGGGCATAAATCAGAATTAAGTGTCATGTCGGTTTGTCGGTGCTTACAGTCCGTACACTTATAATCGTAGAGTACGATTGAAACACGTCTTTATTGGTACACACAAAGAACAAAAATTGTTGCTATAAAAATAATGCATAATCAAATTAAAAGTTTCCCAAAATTCGTAGTTTCAACTATGAAAGTTTTCAAAATTCAACTTATATTTTTGGTAGAGTCGGTGTATAATGAGTCACGCCAAGAGTGAAGCCAACCCGAGCAAAGTCTGAGATCAAACTGAAATCTAAATTTGATGTTGTGATTTCGCTGATAATGATTACTCAGGTTGCTGTCGTTTTGGTTGTTTTAACGGTTAAAATATCAAAATTGAGAGCAAAAAAATCTTTCTGTGACATCACATTGAAAACTATTTCTGCTATCAGTGAGAGGAAACTGAAAACCAAATTTGATATCCATTTTTCCTGTTGATAACAAAACAAGTATTCAATTTGATGTTATGCTAAGGCAATGAAAACAAACCAGCAACAACATATTTCTGGAGCAAATGTACAGCAAAATGAAAACAAAATTAGGTATCAAATTTGTCAATTGCCTAAACTGAAATCAAATTATGATTTCAGATTGATGTTGATATCAAAACTTGATTTCAATTTGCTGTCATTTTGATGCTGTACTTTGCTCGGGAACGGGAAGTCTACCTATTGAACCGTCAAACCGGCTACCTATCGGGCAAAGTAAACAAACATTACGATGCTATGAAAGGTCCACGAAAGGTATTGCAATAAAATATAAAATATAATCGAAGAAATGAGTATAAACACGCAGTGAGCATATAATTGTCATGGGATACGTTCGGTAATGATCAGTAATGAAAATTTCGTCTATTTTTTGTTAAGATAATTTGACTAAATCACTGATATAATGATTTACTACAGCCGCATTTTTTTTTCTCTCGCTAGAAGTCATTTGAAGTTGTTGTAGAAGTCCTCTGTTGCCAAGTGAAAAGAATGGGAATCTTTCGAAACCCGTGATGCGAGTTCAACTGGTTTTCTCTTGGCGTGACTCATTATACACCGACTCTAATTTTTGGTTTAAAAATGTTTCTTTCACTTTCGACTTGTAATTTTAAAAGTGATTTTTTTTAAATAAAAGTTGTAAAACTGTCAAAATACCTCTTCATTGCGTAGTTTTTGACAGTACTGGACCTCCGTTTCCCGCTAAATTTGACATGGGAAATAAAAAATAAAACAAAACCAGCTGTGAGAACTTGCAGGAGTAGCAGCAGTGTATTCTTTTTTTTTTCATATTATTCATCCGCCGGCACGATAGTTTTCCTTCTTTACGATACGAATAATAATGTGGAGGCCGCCGCGGGAAGTAATTCGATCATCAGGAAGTAATTATTCAGATATCAACTGTACCATTAGTGTAAAATGCTTCCAATGGAAGATTCCATAATGCAGTGGCCTTTCAGTGATGATTGAAAATTTTAATAAACTAAAATGAATTAAATTAAATATGTATGTTTCATTTTTCTAAAGCAATAAATAATATTTGAGATGAAAACGTACACCATTGCGATAAATATGCCCATCTTTTAAATTAAAACCTTTAAGGTTCAATTTACTTTGATGCTGTTTGGAAAATTTCAAAAGCAGTTTTTTCCTACGCATTATTTCAGATTGCAAAAAGCTTGCACTATTCGATTCCTTTTGATATTTTACACAAAATGACGCGAGCTTTTTACAATCTAAAATAATGCGTCGAAAAAAACTGCTTTTGAATTTTTAAAAAATGCATCAAAGTAAATTGAGCCTTAATGAGTATATTTAAAAACCATAGGCTATTAGATTGACACTTCTACAATTCGATTTGAAAGTTTCAACTTTTAAAATTAAAGAATGAGCTACTTTTGAATTGACAGTTGGCCGACTTTTGTTTTGAATGCAAAAGACTTTCTACCAAAAAGAACCAACGCAAACTTTTAATTCTATCAATGGTTTTTTATTTTTATTAACGATAATTTTTTGTGTGTAAACGTTATACAGTGGAATGGATTTTATTTTATATTTTCTCTTTACAGCAGTGACACGGATTATCACAGACTACTGCGTTATTCAATACTCCTCCCTAATCCGAGACACCCAATAATTTGCAAAACTGTTGTTGTTTCTGAACGGCTAATGGCTTTGTGAAACCATCAGCT